AGGTATTATTATTACGTTAATAGCTTCGATTATTTGAATAGCCTTGATCATTTTAATACTTATCATCATTTGAATAATCATTATTGTCATTACAATTAAAGTAATCATTATGATTTTATTAGTTATAATTATCATCTTAATAGTAATTATTATTATTACAGTGGTTATTCTTATGATTTCAGCAGTTATATTTTAAGTTGTTATTTTGATAGTGATTAACATTATCATCGTCATTAATATATCATTATTTTAGTTATATCGTTTTCATTACAATTATTATTGTTATTCTGATGGTTATTATTTGTTTTAATATCATTATTATTAAAATCACCATTATCATTATCAGCTACTATTATAATTGATATTGTTAATGCCGTTGTTATTATTTTATTAATATTATTTACATTATAAATCTTGATGCAAGTGTAATGGAATGAAAAAGAAGTAGCCTTTGGTTTATACAGGTTTATGGTACAGACGACTGGCCACAATAATTCTTAAGACAGAACATTCACCTACAACTTCCATCCACCTCTGTTTACATGCATAAAATATTCACTTGGAGAGAAGTGTCGATATACACATATTACTCATATCGAGAGTAGAGAAGGAGGTTACAATGAACAATAATATTATTCCGGTTATCACAAGATACTTCACAACTCATTGGTTATACGGTAAGTGGACGGCTGTGATGATTTTTTTTCGTCAACACAACCAGAGCTAAAAATTGTTACGTTTACTCTTAATACTACTATCGTTATTTTGGGTTTGTTTTTTTTATAGACTTTTTAACGGGCATCATTATATTTACATATGAACGTAAATGATGATATACACTGGCAGTTCAGATACGTAGAGAATAACATTCGGTAACAGCTGAGATTCCTCTTTGCTTCACTTGGCCTGAGGGTGCAGGAGCGTGAGGCCCGGCCGCACCCGCACCGCCAGCACGTAAGGGTGAAATCGCGCCGCCGTGCTCTGCGCCCCTTCTTCGGGAGGCGGAGAGATGACCCTTGAAGTCGTGGAGGAGGCGTGCGGGCGCGGGGACGTGGCCGGGGAAGTGAGTGTGGCGGTAGAGGATGGAATGGAGTAATGTGTGATGGGGATGGGCGAGGGGCGGGGGAGCGCCACAGAGGGAGAGGAATAAGATAAAGGGGAAGGAGAGGAGGAGGAGGAGGAGGTGGAAGAGGTCGGCGGCGGCGACTCCGGCGACTGCGGGGAGGAAGGCCGGTGAAGGTGGTGGCGGAAGCGAAGGGACGTGTCGATGCTGATGCAGGCGTCGCGCGGGGAGAGGGGGGACCCGCGCTGGCCGTTCCCGCTGCTCAACACGGTCCCGTTTCGCCTGTTGTTGTTATTGCTGCTACTGTTGTTGTTGTTGTTGCAATTGTCCTGGTCGTGCGGGGGATAAAACGAGTCATCCTGCCGCCGCTGCCACTCGAGGACAGAATTGAGGAGATTGATATATTTTATGGCGAGTCTGAGGATCTCGTTCTTGGAGAGCTTCTTGTCGGGCGGATGCGTGGGCACGAGGCGGCGCAGCTCGGCGAAGGCGCCGCTCACGTTCTGCTGCCGCCAGCGCTCCCGCGTGTTGGTGAAGACCTTCCTGATGTTGCGGTGATGCCCCACGACGCCTCGCTCTTCGCTCACCTCTCCAAGGCCCACCTCCAGGACCACACCGCCGTCGCTCGCTTCGTTGCCGTCGCACGTGGAGGCTGAAAGAAAAACTTTAATTTGAAAAAAAATAATAAAACAGACAAAAAATTAAATTAAATTAAAAAGTAGAAATAATAATAATAAAAAACTCTAGTTCACTTGTTTTCAACCGCAAAAATAAAAATAAAATACAAAATCATAAAAATAAAATTATACATAAATCATTCTTCTCACTTGTTCTTGTTTCAGCAAATAAAGAAAAAAAAATATTGTTCACCCGTTTCCGCTAGCAATAAATAAAAACAAAACAAAGTATAAAAATAAAATCACAAATATCGTTCTTATTTTTCAGTATTGTCCATGTCCATTTAATGTGTTCACACAGACCTGCCTCCTACCTCTCCAACCTCGATCCTAACATGTTAACAAAAGCAAAGAAAAGGACAGGTAAGGATGTCGCTCCCTACTTTTAATTCACAACTTTAATTTTCCTCCCTTTCTTCACCATTTTACTATAATAATAATGTTATGATGATAATTGATAATTGAGGATTGATGATGGTGATAATAATGATAATGATGGAACTAAAATAATACCTGTAGGCATGTGTTGTGATGTTATCATAATTACTACAGTAATGAAAATTTTGTACAGATAGAGAAAATAAATATGAAAAACTAGAGAGGAAAGGGCGTACTAATGTATATCTGAAAAAATAAATTAAACTAAGAACAAATGAACAAAACTGGGATAATGATGGACATGCGCGTTTTAGCTGAGCAGTGTGTATTTTAATCCTGAAGAAAATCACAGGCTGTACTGCTAACAAACACGTGTGGTGTTTTTATGTTAAATGGATGACGTTGTGCTAGAGCTGGTACATGGAAATATGCAGAAAAAGTAAAAGAAATGGGAACAGGTGATCATTGCAAGACCAAGAGAAAGTATAATAAAACCAGAGGCAAAAACATAAGGCCTTTTGTGTAGCATCCGAAACCTGTATCACTTAGACACATTGATTCATGTAACACGGTCGATACAAAACACGATAACATCGAAATTTTTCACGTAATTTTTCACATAAGTCAATAGAAAACCATTAAGGTACGTAATATGCTGGCATGATTTTAATTTTAAGCAACACACCGTGGGGGGGATTCAAATAAAATGGAAAAAAGTACCTGACTACTCGGCAACTTACATACACCACAATTGTCCCGCAAGGCTGTGGAAACTTGTAATGTATTAAACAAATTTAGTCAAAACATTTCTTTCTTTCTTACTTACATTGCTCTTCATACGAAAAGAGTAAGTTGCATGAGGTTTTGCATCTTACCGCATCCACCACGAGCGAGATCCGTGTCCGAATCAGAAAGTGATAATTGCAATGATTACGGGCATTTATTTGTCTTACTAACTGAATTATATCAACAAATCAAGATACACAGCATTTTCTTTGATATTTTTTAGTCTGTAAAGTTATATCATTAATGTATTGAATGATTTTGAAGACGCGTTGGAAAGTCTTACCATGTCCTTCCAGCGACCGTCAGGATCGACTTCAAATTTTACTCATATCGAGTGAATATGTATTTGACATACTTCGAAAAAACACAAACATTTTATGCACCTTTACAACAGAAAAAAAAATCAAAGAAACTTACGATGTGATTTTTAATGAAACTAAAAATCCCTATCTTTTATCCCTACATGAAATATATCTGAAAATTATCGCATGTGGCCGGAGTGTATTACATTGTATCAAGATAGGGACATACAAACTGATGCAACCCAAAGAGATGTTTCAATGGGTTCCAATAATGTGCACGTAAAGGCATATATCGACGTGTTTCGGGCATGCTACAAAAAGGGCCTGTAGCAAAGAAACAGTTCAAATAAATTAGGACGATATAGGGCAGCAGTGATTGAGATAACACATGAAAATAATAATAATCATGAAACTAAACAGTAACGAAAATGATACTACTGCTTTACTACTATTACAAGGCCAATCCAAAAACAATGATAGTAATTATGACTTCGATTTATCATAATCACGTTTTTTCTTTCTCTATAACAGTGGTTCTCAGACTGGGGGTAAATAGTCTTTGGAATTAACAGAAGTGATCAAGAGTGATGCACGAGCAAAACTCGACATTCCTACATTAAACCAAGGGAGTGTATTACCAATATCACAATGAAGAACAGGCTACTTTTTGAGCCAAACTGGAAAGGAATATCCCATCAACTAATTTTGCACAGTTTTCTCTTCTTACCCCCCCCCCCTCCCCTCGGTTTACCCTTTTTACAAATAAACATTTTTATAGTGATATATGACTTTTGATGTCCAGAACGTTTACTTTTCATTGTAACGATTAATCATTAAAAGACAAATAAAACCAAGTTTTCGACTAAAGATGTAGTGGTCTAATCTTTTCTCTCTCTTATCTACCAAAATATATTATGCTTAAATTTATGATACTCGGAACAATACTTTAATTTTCTTTTCAAAGAAATAATTTTCCGAGTAGAATTAATCTATCATATAAAATGCATTAATAATTAACCATTCATATAAATTTTCTTTCCTTTAACTTCGCTTTACTGAAGAGGAATGGCGCATGAGTAAAGGTGCACTATCACATCACAGCGGGGGTAACGATACCAAAAATCACACCCCATAGGCTATGCATGTGAATGAATAATAATGAAAATGCATAATGCAGTTACATAAAATTTCGCACCACCCTGCTGACAAACCCCCTTAACCAAGAGGCCAACCCAAGACACGGGCGTAAACACCGCCTCTTTCATTCAGTGGAGGTCATGCTTAATATGAACGAATCCTTTCAGCCATAAAAAAGGAAAAAGAAGGGAAGAAAGAAAGAAAACAGAGCGAAAGTAAGTCGGAACGAAGCGTTTGTCACAAGCGAGCATTGGCGGCGGGTCTATAGGCGAGCACGAGTAGAGGAGACGTCCCAGGCGAGGCAGACTATCTCGTAAATAAATAATATCCCCGTTATTTTCTCGCCTGTGACGCCACCTTTATCGCTGCCCGCCGTTGCGCCCGCCGATCGTACCCGCCCGCGTGGAGAGGCCTTTGCGCACCTTGCGACCGGCGCCAAGTGAGGAAGCGGCGGCTCTGGTTCCCGCCGGAGAGGTTCGCGCCGCCGGAAGCGTCGTCGCCGTGGTCGTCGTCGGAGGTCGAGTCTCGCGTGTCATCCGAGAGGTCGTCGCCAAGGTCGAGGTCACTGCTGTCGCCTCCGCTGCACCCGCCCACGCAACCGCCCAGGCAGCCGCCCACGCATCCGCCCAAGGCAGGGGGAGAATTCTCGTCCTCAAC